CCCCCCCCCCCCCCCCGAAATGGGCGGGACAGAAGTGGAAGGTTGTTCTTAAAGAGACAGAGGCTAATTTCAAGGCATTTAGAAGAGGAAGTGATGAGAATATAAGTTTATTTTCTATTTAAACATAAAAACAGCATTTTAATAACATCTAAAGATGACATAGATACTTTATTATGGTATAGTATTTAAATGTATGCCTGAGAAACACATAATATTGCCCCTTTAAAGCTTTTTTATATACGTTTCAGTTTAGCCTCTGTACTCGACTCTGGCAGCATATTCCCACATAGCAAAATTTCTCTGRCCCAGCTCTGGCCCACACAATTCACTCTTAACAAAGAATTGGTGGCCCAGATGTGGTTTGTCAGAGGTGGTCCGTGTGTGGGCCAGCACCTTGTAAAGCAACCTACAACTGGGCCAGTTGTGTCATACAGTCTTAAAAACATTGCCATCATTGCCAGACCTGACCCACACCTGTTTGCTATATCTGTGGTTCTCAACCTGGGGGTGCAGAGAGCTCTCCTGCACCCGGAAGTGGCCTATAACCATGTCGGCTCAGAGGCTGTGAAAATRTCAGTTTATTGTTTGAGTATAAAAATCACCAAAACAAAACCATTTGAATAAATAATATAACTCAGTTCTTGTCACAGCCTGCGTATCCGTTATGTGGTCACTCTTGTGGTTTCTGTCCTCCTCCTCCTGCCTGTCTCTGCTCCAGCCCCGCCCACTCTCACATGCTCCTCATGTTTCTCTCCCAGGTGTTTCTTGTTGTGGCTCGTTAGTTCCCCTTTATATTCTATTCTTTTGTTTGCATGATCGTCTCCACAGTCGGTGGGTTTTCTGGTTCTCGTACCCAAGCYTGTTTCTGGTTTTTGTAAGTATTTTTTTGCCGCCATGCCAGCATTTTGTTTTTGTTAAAGCTCTTTTTTTGGACCACCAATTCAGTTCTGCACCTGGGGTTCAAGCCTTCCACCCCACGTTACAGTTTTTCTTTTTCCAAATAAAAGTTTGTACCTATTCACTTCATTCTTTTGTAATTTTGATAAAAGTTGAACACATCTTTGGGAGAGGTGGGGAGTAGCGAGGGATTAAGGGGGGACTCAGCTTGGAAGTAAGAAAGGGGGGCCTTGAGGAAAACCATTTGGGAACCACTATGCGGTCGTATAGAGCCTACTTTGAAATAAAGGAGGATAAATGGAGGATAAAGAAAAAGTGTCTGACCTAATTAGACAATCTACAGCAGATGAATGATTTCTGAAAATCATGACTTAAAGAGGGGAAAATGGAAAAGACCTAACAGAGGCAGAGAAATTCTTGAAATGTAGTTCCATAAAAATAGGTCGTGATTTTTCTTCAGCTGCCTGTTTAGGACCCGGCCTCACCCTATCCTGGCTGCAAACATTCAGAGTGTCGTGAAGCATTTTTGAGTCCCTAASTAGTCTCTCGACAGTTGCAGCTCAGTGAGCGCCTTCAGCTCGTAAAAGGGGAAGAAGTGCCGAGACGAGATGCGGCTGTGGTCAAATTCAAGGCCAAGTAACAAAAACAAACCATCCTGCTTCCCTCGTTAACTTGTAAACATGATTCATAGACCTCGTCTCCAGTCGTTAACATTTATTCCCACCAGTCACTCAGTTAAAGGTCCTTGATGTTTTGACATGTCTCGGCAGAAGAGTTATGGAATTGACTAATATATTAATTAGATTAAATTAATTAGATTTGATGCTTGTTTTAGAACTCGACATCTGCTTTCATGAACTAAATTGCTTTTGATAAAACTGGAATTTCATCTATGTGCCGAGTTTTTGGTTAAGATCAGCATCAACATCATATGTTTCTCTCTGATATGTTTTAACCAAGGAGCTGCACCAAGTGGCTGAATCAAGTTCAGTCTGTTTAAGAGGTTTTCTTTAAGGATCGATGATTCATGTTGTTATGATTTTCCTCAGAACCGGATGCATGAGAGCATGAAGCTTTTCGACTCTATCTGCAACAGCAAGTGGTTCACGCACACCTCCATCATCCTCTTCCTCAACAAGAAGGACCTGTTCGAAGAGAAGATCAGCAGGAGCCCGCTCACCATCTGCTACCCTGAGTACAAAGGTGGGGCCAGTGTTTGTTGTAGATTTCACTTTGTGAGACCAGTTTTTATAATTAAACCAACCTAAAACGTTCATCAAATGCAATCTCACATAGCATCTCTTTAGAAAATTCACCCTTTTGTCTCAGCATATATTTTTTTTCTTTATGGTTACGGCTTCCCCCGTAGGTGGAAACTCATATGGAGAGGCAGCGAATTACATCCAGGGCCAGTTTGAAGACCTAAATAGACATAAGGATGAAAAGGAGATCTACCCCCACTTCACCTGCGCCACAGACACCAAGAATGTGCAGTTTGTGTTTGACGCCGTCACCGACGTCATCATCAAGATCAACCTGCATGATATCGGGCTCGGCTGAAGTTCCAGAACTGCACCTCCAGGTCCGCTTCAGACCACATATTAATACTTTATTTAAGATCGAATCACCCGATTTCAGAGTTACCATTTTTAAGCCAGCATGAGTAAGTGAGAGTAGTGAGTTTCTTACCTGTCAGGAGACGGTAATCAGAGCAGTCCCAGTTGGAAAATCTTCTTAAATTAATTAAACTGAAACAACTTTACCTTAAAACCTTTGTAGCTTCTGAAGTGGTGGATTCTTACTTATTGTTAACAAATAGAATTCTTCATTATAATTAACCCTCATTTTAGGGTTGAAAAAATGTCTTTAAGGAATCATGCTTTTAAATCCTCCTTTTTCACATTTACATCATTCATTTTGGGTCTATATAAACTGGAACTGCAAAGTTTGGTCTGAATTCCAACTTATTGTAACTCCACAAGCCCCTCTTTCACCCCATTTTCTGAGGTGCGTCTCAGATCAACTCATTTTCTTTAAATGCAACTGAGGCCCCGCCCCCCTCCAGATCGGAGCACGTTTCACTCCACCTCGTTTCGCCATTTCTGTAGTTTGATAGCAGTTTGATAATATAGCGTCATAGAAACTTTTTATTTACAGACTAATTAAAAGATGTCAACAACAGAACACTTGTCCTTCCAGCTTTACATGCTGGAGCCAGAGTCTGACCCAGAGCCAGAGGAGAATGAAGACCACAAACCTGCAGAGCTGAGAATTTGTAAAATTGGTTAGCGGGAAGTCCATGACCTTGTTTAGCARTTCTGCAGCAAATGCTATGACATTGTTGTTTACAAAACATACAGTAATGGTGAATAGAGAAAACTGAACAGATCGTAAGACCCAGACAGAATAAAGATATCTACGCAGAGAGAAAGAGAGARAATAAAGGCTCCCACATGCTCGGGCGGACTGTGAGCGGTCTGTATGTGGTCTGTGAGCGGCGTGGACTACGAGCATTTTGTCCGCAAACGTTTGAGACTTCATACTCGAGCGTACTGACCGCTTGACGAATTCTTTAACTTCTCACAATTTCAGTCATGATGTCAAGGATGAGGAGGAAGAGATAGTTTGCATTTTAACTTAAAAAAAATAGAACTACCTTAACCAGGATCAGAGCTATTTCCTCCCACGAAATTGTTGCTTGCTGAAAGTCCTTATATTCCTTCAATGACACATCATAAAGTTTTCAAATCTCTTCCATGAGACGCTTTTCAAAATTGGACTCCATTTCATCCACAAATGACACAGATTCTCAACTTTATCAGCTTGGTGTCGCATCCAAAACGGTTCTCACCAGGCGGTTTATTGTGCGACACCGCGGACGCGGACATAAAAAATGATCTCTGAGCGGACCAGTCCGGCAGACGGCCGCTTCGAGTCTGCCTCGAGTCCGCGTTGACCTCCACGGAGCGAAGTACGCCCGAGTATGTGGGAGCCTTTAGTTCAACTCCAACTACACAACATTTATTTAAGGGTGTGTTTTGCTTGATATGTCCCCTTTAACTTCTAAAACARGTGCCCAAACATTTTCCCTGAGAGGGCCAAAATTAAAATCAATCTGAGGGCTGCGGGCCAAATGCAATAACAAGAAATCCAAATACTTAAGTAAAGTTGTTTTATTTTTTACTATTAAGCTTTCAGCCAGTGTGGTTGCCCACATTTTTTTTTCAGCCCATGGACATGGAGAAATTTCAAAGTACGCTCAGATAGCAGAGGCTCATGGGACTTTCAATCATTTAAAATTTGAGTATATGGGGTCTTACAAGGTGTGCAAATCTATATATAGGCTTAAATCTAATTAAATGTCTCTTGTAGTTACTTGTATTCTATATTTAATCTTAACATAATTACAATCTAGTAACCAGGACAACTGCTGGCGGGCCAAATCAAATGGCTTGTTGGGCCAATTTTGGCACCTCTGATCTAAAAGTTCCATAAACACTGTGGCTAAAATTACTCCAAATTTGGTCAAAAAAATTTTTTTGAAACCTCAAACCCTTGTTGTGAAAGTCAAAACGATTTGCATTTAACCAATATAAGAAAATGAAGTTTGCTCCACGTTAGGGTCAAGCTATAGCTCACAGTTAGTTCTTCTGTCATTGTTCTGATCAAAGCAGTTACATTGTTTTATAGCACTCAGCTCTAACATCCTGTTTGACACGGGGCTGTTGTGAGTGAGCTCTCTGATTGATTTTTTCTCTCCTTTAAAGCTGAGGAGGTGATTCTGTTTTTAAATATAATTTCATCAAAGCTCAGGGGAGATGTCTGCGTCTGTTCAAGTTTCTGTTTTTTATTCGTGCATTTCTGGTTAAAATCAGGATTTGGGGTGATAAGGATGACAATTTAGAGATTTGTTCTTGAGCATCTGTCTTTTCTGTGCAGTGTTGCCTAAAGGGATAGAAAGTTGTGACCTTTTGCATTATATTTTGTTGTTTGTGCACAAAGATTTTTTTCTGCTTTCTCTGACCTATTTACCAGCATTATGCACTGTAGATCATGGAATACCCTCTTTTTGTTTCTGTTGTGAGAAATGTTTTGTGGTAACTATTAAAAAAACCTGTGTAGAATTTTTTAATGTTCAATCTGCACCGTTGTGTTTATATTTACAGATATTTCTATTTAAGAACATAGTTTAAAAAAGTTCTTAAAGTGAATTGTATTCATTGTGTGGATACTAATTGGCAATTTTTTTTGTTTTACTTGCAGGATTTAAAAAAAAAAGACTAAGGACTTCTGTGATGTCTTGATTGCAGAGGCTGAATTGGAGAGTATTTGTTACTAAAGACTAAGTTTGTGGCCACAGCAGGATCCAAACCTGCATCTGTGACCACATYTGTCTCAATAAGTTTTAAACTGTGGCTTGCTTTTAGACAGAAAGTTGTGAAACAATTCCTGTCATGTTAAATAAGTTTGTATAGTTCATTGTTTATAATCTCCACCAGGACCAAACACATCAGATCCATCACTGCATTTCACCACTAAAAGGAAAAACTCTGTTCACAGATCTGCTGCGCTGTCTAGTCTTGTGTACGTCTGTATTCATTAGCTTTTGTCATGTTTTATTTTAAACTTTTAGATGCAGTTTTCTTGTATTCCTGTGTCTGAAATATGTAACTTGTTTTGGAGAGGGTTTGGTGTGAGCTGCTTAATGTAAAGTTACAGTTTGAGTCTGGATTTAGTTAACTAAGTCTAATGGACTCTGCTGCACATGTAATGGTTCTGATTTAAACTAGACCACATTATATTAAAAATATTTTTATTCACATTGTTGTAGCAGTGAAATCAGTCTGAATGGACATTTAGATTGTTTATTCTGTTTTTTGGATTGAAATATGCTAATTTTATTCAATCAGTGAGGAACTGTTTAGTGTTTTTGTTTTGTTTTTTCATTTTTGTTTATTGTTTTTGAGGCAATTTGAATTTGATTAAATATCAACACCTTAAAACAAAATGTGGGAGTACACAATTTTTTTTATTATTATTGGTCAAACTGAGGAAGTCTGCTACAAAAATATTCTGTTAAATAAATGACTGAGTTTTCCAAAAGTTCAGATTTTTAAAGTGGGTACCTGCAGAAGGGTGTATAAAAAAAAATATCTAACCTGTTGTAGATGGCTCTATGAATGACTTGAATTTGGGAAAAATGTAGTTTATTTCCTTAGCTAACATTAGTGAGGAGTTGTTTCTATAAAATAAACAAAAAACCCTCCACAGTGTTTCAGAAGAACTTGATTCATTTGGCCAGAATCACATGATCACTGATGTCTAAAGCTCAGAATGCACCAAACTTTGATTCAAAGGTTTTTAAAGAAACGCATTACTGGCAGGATACGTGCACTTTTGTGGCAAAAAATAAATAAAATGAACCAGCGAGCGACATACAACGAGACGTGGAGCCAGTGTTATGTGTTTAGTTTACCAGTGAACAAACACTTTTACCATAGGGGAAGAAAACACAGAAAAACACTAAATCTACATAAGATATATATCTGATTTAGTATCATTGTTAAGAAGCACCAAGTTCTTCTCTAATCTTTCGGTTTTAGTTTCAGAGTGTGGTGTGTAATTGTGAACATGTCAATGTACAGATGAAATGTTTGTTACCATGTGTCCTCTATGGCAGCCATCTTGTTTCAGCTAAAGAGGAGGCCCACCTCAAACCCTGTTCCTTTATAGGAAGTGAGCTGATAAGAGCTGGAGTATGATTGGTGAAGAGTAAGAAGAAAGTTTCAGTAATTAAACAAGTAAACTAACTTGTAAATTGTACATTTACTTGCATAAAATGCTTTGATATTTCTTTATGGATTCATAATTGTTGGTGTTTACATTGTTTATGTGAATGTTAAACTTTGTTTTCTTTCCCGCTCTGAAAGGCTGAGGTGATTGGCCGAGTTGTATTGAAGGTGAGGTCTAAAGTGTGTATATATAGGTGGACTGCTGGATCTAGTGAGATGGATGGAAGGGCTGTCACTTTGAGAGCTGCTGTGAGGCCTGAAAAAAAAACAACAATAAACCAGCTTTGTTTGCTGTAAAGCCATTTAAGAGTATGACTTCTCTTTTCTACACCACAGCTCTCAGTGTAACAATAAAGTKACCTGAGTTTGATGTGAATGTCACTTTCAGACTGTCACAAAAATTTAAAATTGGGTCACACAGGGACAAAAAAGTCAAAATCCTGCAAGATTTGCAGTGTGAACATAGAACAATCGTCAAAAATGATTGTAATATCCCTTTAAGCAGAATCTGTTTTAGTTCCAAAGGAATAGTTCAAATCCTTTTAGGTGGGGTTTTGTAGAAAAGTTACGAATAATTAATATCTTACCTGATGTAGATTTCTATTGTTTATAACCTTTATAGCCTGAGGTGTGCAGTAACTAAGTACATTTACTTTGTTACAGTACTTAAGTAATTTTGAGGATTTATGATTTTACAAAGTATCTTTATCACAACTTTTGTTTTGTTACATTCAAAACATAAATGTATACTTTTAAAAATTTATCACCTAGACTTTATAATTCTGACCAAACTCATCATGAAACTAAGTTATGTCAAATGGTTGAGTAAAGTTAAACAATTTACATATTTGCATTAAAACAAAAAGTGTAAATTGCTCATTTTACTCAGTTTAGTGGAACCAGTTTGGTAACTTAAATGTAACACTTCATTTCTTGGAGTGTTTAAAACTAGCAGTTTGATGACTTTTACTGAAGTACTTTTCTTATCAATGAAATTCATTTTTACCAAAGTCATTTTCTGTTAAAGTATTATTTATTTCTTACAGTACTTTTTATATCTCCGTTTAAAGCAGAGGTCTTCAACTCTGCTCCTCCTGACCCACTGTCCTGCAGGTTTTAGCTGCTTCCCTCAGCTCAGCACAGCTGATTCACATAATTAGGGCCTTTCCCAGTCAGTCGGTGGCTACATAAGTTCTGCATATGTTTTGTACACATATTTACTAAGTAAACACATTACCAWCAAATATAATTTCACATAAATCATGTTTAATTCAATTAAAACTTTATTAAAGACACAGAACCCTGGTCCATTTAAAAAAAGAATAAAAAGGAGAAAGTAAATTATTTTAAAAATGCAATTATTTTGACACGTTTTCACACTGTGTTTGTTACAAATACAGTCATATCTGAAAACTCTCTAAAATGTGGGCTTAATTAAACATTTTCTTTGGTCGTATTTAAAAAAGCGTTTGTTCTCCTGTATTCAGTCGCTGCCAGAGATTGGACTGTTACCATGGTGACGACAGCTTCCTGTTCCGGTGGTGTGAGGAGAGCCAGTCTCAAAAGAGGTGCGTGTATACAGCGCCATCAAGGGGACTCAGTTCAGCTGCGAGGGGGCTTCACAGCGAGTGTAGTGTGTAGGGAGGAGGGCGAGTGTGTAGCCACTGATTGGGAAAGGGCCTAAGATTAGACTCAGCATGCCATCATGTCTGGCGTAAACCAATCACTCACTCATTCCAGGCAGGTGTGTTGAAGCATCTAAAACATGCAGGACAGTGGGTCAGGAGGAACAGGAATCCATGATTAGTTCTAACTTTAGACTTTATTTAATAAACATATGTTTTAACTGTAAAATAAAGACTGTAAAAATACTGTAGGATGTTCAGTTTTTATCATTTTTAAACTAAAAGTTTAAAAATATATTACACGGACGGAGTCATTTTATTTACACTCAAAGCATTCTGGGTAAATGATGATGTGGATAGGTCCTCAGTGTGAGCGAGCTATATCCACCCTGAAGGTTAATCTTGGACAATATCTGATGATCGACTCTTTTAAATGAAACCAGAGGGCGTTGACAGAGAGGAGGAGGTAGAAATGACTCAGCCTGTAACTGAAAATATGGATGGAGGACAACAGAGCTGCTTCATGGAAGAAGAACCTCAGCTTAGCCTGTTAGCTTTAGCATTGACACTATATTGCTTTATACAGTATGTATTAGTTTGGCACTAGCACGACAAACAAGCTAAACTGATGTCCTCCATCTATATTTTCAGTTACAGGCTGAGTCATTTCTACCTTCTCCTCTGGTTTCATTTAAAAGAGTCGATCATCAGATATTGTCCAAGATTAACCTTCAGGGTGGATATAGCTCGCTCACACTGAGGACCTATCCACATCATCATTTACCC